CATTGTATCACCCACACCTTCACATTATCATAGAGTTTAATGGGGAGGGGTTACATCGAGGGGGAGACACTCTGAGCATAACTATTAGGATTGAGTCTGGGGCTTCCAGAGCCATTAAAACAGTCTGTCTTTGAGTTGGACTCGAGAGCTTCTTAAAATATACTAGGCCGTATTTCTGTTCAAGGAAGTTGTTGTTCAGTCCTGTTAGTATGCTGAATTGAAAGATTATTATTATTTCTTTTTTTTTATTTTGAAGAGTGGGAGTTTAAGTTTTAGACATTAAAAAATGTGTTCATGCGCATTATACCTCTGTGTTGAATATTGTTTAAGATTTCACATGACTGTTGACCGGGAATAAAATGTGACTCATATTATGAAGTTCCCGGAAGTGCGGTTGTTGTTGTTAGAGCACGAACGAGGTGGTGTAACGTTTGGTGTTGACGAATAAACAGATGATCGATTCTCAAGTGGATCTTTTTGTATAACGTGTGTGTATCAATACACAACTCTGAGATCACAACGTGAATGTGTGCAAGAATAAACTGAGCATGTTCAAATGAACTCTTTCCAGACTAATTCCACTAAATGTGTTTAGAGAAAATACAGATTTCTTTACCTGTGAGAAGTGAAGAGAGAATGATCAGTCCCAGCAGACACAGATCACACTGATCAGACATTTCTGCTTCTGTCCGTCTTCCTCTTCATTAGATATAGTGACAGCTCTTCCTCTTCATTATATATAGTTACAGCTCCTCCTTTAATCATCATCAGCTCCTCCTGTGGTTATTAACTTCCTCTCATCTGATGAACTGTTTACATCCGTTGCTATAGTGACACTATTTCAGTCCATGACAGTGAAGTGTTGCTCTCTCTCTCTCTGTGTGTGTGTGTGTGTGTGTGTGTTGTGAGAAGTGCATTTCCTGTTAATGTCACTGGCTCAACACACATCTGATCTGGGGTGCGTTTCCCGAAAGCATCGTTAGCCAACTATGGTCACAAGTTGGTCGCAAATTCCATTGAACTCTATTGGTAACGACAGAACTTGCGACCATATTTGGCTAACGATGCTTTCGGGAAATGCACCCCTGAGCAGTTTATTGGCTACTTTTGCACAGAGGAGCATTACTGTTATTCTCACTTCTTTCTTTTAGCAGTTTATCTTTTATTTTGTCCTGTTCTTGTACTCAATCTTTTGATCCAGAAATACTTAAAGTATACTACATAAAATGAACTTGAAATATACTTCTTTCACTGTCAAGCAGACTTTGCGTTTTTACCGTTTAAACGGGAACGCGGCGGTGGAGCGTTTTTAAGATTTCCACTCTGGACGGTGGTTTCACTTTTTTACAGTTTTCACCCGCGAGCGTTCTCGTGTAAACAGGGCCTTAAAAGTATTCTACAGTTGTAGTACTATAAGAGAAAGAGATAAAACATCAGATTAAAGTAAAAGACGATCAAATGTTCAGGAGGGAACGAGATTTACAGCTTTACTGTGCTGTGAGTGAATGGGACTCTATGGGGCTAGACGGCTAAATGCGTCTCTTTCACCCGATTGCCGTTGAGAAATCTCAGATTTGATCGTAGGTTTTGCGAGTTCAACATGGGTTATAGGTCGAAAGTTGAATGAACGAGTTCTTATGTCCTTTTCATTTCTTACAGGTTGAGTTGTTGTTGCCCATAACACGCTAGCATTCTGCTGATTGGTCAGTGAAGGACTGATTACGACCAGAGACACCGCTTACACACTTTTATTTTCTGGTAGACGGCTGTGTTGACCTTGGACCTCAGAAAACACAGTGGACCGACACCAGCAGATGACATGGCCAGACCATCACTGACTGTGGAGACTACACTGGAGTGTGGATTCTGTGCCGCTCCTCTTCCTCCAGACTCGGACCTTGATTTGCAAAGGTAATGCAGAATCTACTTTCATCAGAGAACATGACTCTGGCCCACTCGGCAGCGGTCCAGTCCTTCTGTCTTCAGCCCAGGCGAGGCGCTTCTGCCGCTGTGTCTTGTTCAAGAGTGGCTGGACACGAGGAGTGTGAGAGCTGAAGCCCATGTCTGGCGTACGTCTGTGTGTGCTGGTTCCTGAAGAACTGACTCCAGTTGATCCTTCCTCCCGCCCAGAATTGAGGAAACTTTGGGCTTGTCCTCTGAGGGTCCCCTGAGCTCATAAGTTCAGGTCTCTCGACTCTTAGATTATTGAGGCCATCCTCAACTCCAGAGCTCCTCCACGAGGAAACTCGACACCTTGAACTGGAGATTGTTCACTGGTTCGGAGAGCACCAGCTGGACCCAGTTATCTGCCCTGTGGTTGCAGTGCTGGAGTTCCCGCAGGTCTATCCCCCTCCACACTAAAGGTGTACATGGCGGCCTTAGCTGCTGGCCACGTATCCTTGGGAAGACACCCTGTAGTACGTTTCCTTTGCGGTACTGTGAGGCGTCTGACCAAGACACTAGGAGTACGGCTGCCTCAAAGGCTATGAGTTGGATCTAGGCTCCACTCCGGGGTCTAGGGTGTTTGCTTCTTAGTGTGCGCAATGACTTCACACAGAGCAGGCATTTGCTGGTCTCGACCCAGCTCGAGTTCCCTTGAAAGGGAGCGTCTCAGGTTATGACTGCAACCCTGGTTCCCTAAGAGGGAACGAGACGCTGCGTCGCCCCGCCATACTCCCTGCATGCATGTGATCGACTTGCTTCGGCCTATCAGAACCTTCACCTCTTTGTCTGGTCTTATCCCTACGTGATCTCACAGACTATCCAAACAGTCTGATTAGGCCCAAACTCGAGGAACCATGTGTCCACTAAAGAGCAGATGAGACAGATCCCCAACTCTCTAGACCGATACCAGAACCAGCAGAACCAGTCTATAAACTCATCAACTGTGTTCAGAGATGATCACGGCTCTATTCTGGTCAAACTGTGAGTCATGTTTCCCAGACCTCAACAGTGAGATCACAGCTATAAAAACACTACGGAAATCATATAAAGAGCACAGTCCACAGACACCTCGCTGTAAAGAGAAATCTATTATTAAAATTCTCATCATGCGGCAATGGAGTTTGGCCAAATATTCCTTTCTTAAAGTTAAACTAAACTAAAATAATCGTTAATGGAACCCAACATATTTTATTACAGTTCCCATCCCTAATCATTAATAATATTCAGAGGCTGCTTAGAGAGAGATCGAACAATAAACTAACCCGCTTCAGTCTAAGGGAGAGGCGCTACACGTGTATATGTTAAAGTATCATCAACCATGTAACACACATTTTGGCGCTGTCACACTCCTGACAATATGAGTGTGTAAATCATGTATATTTATTGACACAGTAAAGTGTCTTTACATGTGTGTTAAACATGTCTGAGACGTGCACTGCAACACACATCTGCTCTGAACACACGAGAGCATTACTGATAGTTTCACTTCCTTATTTGAGCAGTTTCCTGCATGCGTTCAATTCTAGAAATAAAATCATGAAATTATTTCCCACCATCCATGACTCCTGAATTAAAACAATTTTTATAGTATTTAAAAGTCATTATTAGCATCAGTTCCAGTTTCTACTCATAGATTATAATGTGTTGTTTACTCTGAGGAAAACAGATCTGATCCAGCCTCCTTTATCAACACTACAAATGATCTGGAAGATCTGGGATGTATTTCTCAAGCACCACTGATTTAACTTCCGGCTCCCTGAACTCCTGACTACTGTCTCAATGATGTTCTCCATCTACATGTCATCATCAGAAACATGGTTTCTCCATCACTGTTCTCATCTAGATACTGGAGTGCCTCAGGGCTCAGTGCTGGGACCGCTTCTCTTCTCCATCTACATGTCATCACTAGTGTCTGTCATTCAGAAACATGGTCTTTAGCTATAGAGACGCACGTCACTCCTCTCCTCATGAACTTGCACTGGTTTCACAGTGCTGCACACACACATATTTCATCAACACTTGAGCCTTTAATACTCACACTTACTCTTCTATATTACCATACATTACGAGCTCATGAAGGGGAACATCTCAGGAAAGGAGACATATTAAACACAACTGCAGAGGTTTATTAAGAATATTAGTAGCAATCATTCAACATGAAAAACAGATGAGGAATCAATAATACAATAATCCTCAGATCATCTCCATCACACAGAACAGAGAGACGATTATACAGTCTGAGTCTGTCCATTACTGTATTTAATATTATATTTACAGCAGTTTACAGATGAAGCTCAAGAACATGACTGTAGGCAAATATCCATAGAAATGAAAATAAATCCTAATAAAAGTATTATTGAGATAAAAAAAGTGTTTGCTATTGTAAATATTGCTGCAGATTGTGAACTCATCAGTGTTTTACTGTAATATTGTGGGCATCTCTATTTCCTCCGGGGCTTCGAGTCCTTCCTCCCTGCAAAATAAAAGCATTGCCTGACCTCTGGTGTGTGTTTATCATGATTGCAGATGTTCAGATCAGACGAGTGTGAATCTTCAGAGTGTGTGCGGCTCAAACTCACCAGCTCTTCTTGCACAGATGATCTGAAGAAGAATCACAGTAGGAGCAGCAAACACTGCCATCTCAACAATACTCACAATCACTGCAGGAAACATGAGAGGAAGAAGAAGAGAAACTGGACATGACTGAAGTCAAGGGTCTTCATCTATCAACAGTTATTGATGAAGCATTTACAGACGGACTGATAGTGTAATGTTAGAAAGCTGTCCGTCTAAATCAACGTGTCGTACCTCTGTATAATAATCCAGCAGTTCCTGATGCCGGATCACCTGTGGAGATCACGTGTGTTAGTTCAGGTCAACACACACTTCTACATGTTTACACACACCACACGAGTCCATGAAATGAAGCTAACACAACTCAATGTGCCAATGGTCCTGTAGAATATGACAGTCATATTTAGATGAGTGAACACTGAAGATAACTCCAGCATTACGCACTGAAAAGCACTGATGTGAGAAAGACAGTGATGATGTACCTTTAGAAACGTGTGTGTTTATAGTTGAGGGATCCTGAGAGTGTGTGATGTGGACTGGATTCACTGCTGTCGTTGAATCAGCTTGAGCTGTGAAGATCAATGTTAGTTCAGATGATTCATACTGTACAATATGAGCATCATATTTTAACTGTGATCACATTACATAAAGAGTGAACAGTTGGACTGTGACTTCACTGCAGTTCATTAGTTTGAAGCAACGCTTTGAGTTCCTCTTCTGTGAGAGTCAAAGAAGCTTTTGTTCCCTCAGTTTGTTCTGGTTCAGTGATACTGATAGACCTCAGTGTTCCTGACATCATGAGGCTCTTCTAACACTGTTTCCTCACCTGAATACTTGACAGTGTATCTGACTGACGTCTGGACTTGATTTCTCTGAGTAAGCTGACATCTCCACTCTCTGTTGTCATCTTCATCCAGGAGTGTTGTAGTCAGAGTGATGATACAGCGATGTGGAGATGATGATGATGATATCTGATATCTGGAGTCTGTCTTCAGATCAACACCAGCCTGATTCACCCACAACAGCTCAACTCCCCCAGAATGAACCCGATCATCACAGGAGTATCCAGTATATGAATAAAACTGACAGGAGAGAGTCACAGAGCGGCCTGGACTGATCTCAGTCTGTGAGGATGATGATGAAGATGATGATGAAGACACTGAAACTGAACACAAGACACAAATCACAGACTCTTCAATCATCATCTGAGTTTAAAGGGACAATCTGCTCTTTTTATATTGAACACATAATCATAAACTCACCATGAAGAACATGCAGAAAAACATAAGCATCAGTTCCTTGTTGTTCTCCGTTCACATATTGTCTGCATCTGTATAATCCATAATCATCTCCAGTGACGTTCTTGATGTTCAGAGAGCAGTCAGACTCCAGACTCAGTCTCTCATGTCTCTCTGTTTCTTTATTCTTTATTCCTCCAGTAATCAGTTCAACCCATGAATGTCCGAAGCTGTTAGAGTGGGTCCATGATGTTGATTTGCAGTCAGAAAGATGTTTATTACAGGGCAGAGAGACATCTACACCAGAACTGATGAACACATGATCATCTCCACTGGTTCCTGAAACACAGTATATCTCAGTGATCATGATGATATAAACAGAAGTATTAGGGATGCACCGATACCGATACCGGTATCTGGTATCGGCCTCGATACCACATTTTCTAAAGTACTCGTACTCGTTAAAAGTCCCCCGATACCGGGGACCGATACCATGTTCTGAGAAATTGGTTAATCACAGGCGCCGAGTGCCCACCCCCAGGCTCCGGCTGCAGCTCAGAGCGGGGAGATGGGGAGACATGTCAGCCGTGTGGAACAGTGATGCGCGGGTCAATGTATAAACAACCCGCACACTACCAACGTTTTCAACTACCCGCCCGCTACTCGGACCGCAAAAAAAGTAAGAAAATATTGTACCCGACCCTCTTCCTGACCGTATTTTTTAAAAGTAGTACATGCTCATCGTAGCGTCATTGGGCCATAAACGTGTAACAACACACACAGCATCGCAAGAAGACGTAGCCTACATATAACAAAGGCAGCACTTTGGTCATCATCTTTCATTATTTCGGTAAATGTCTCCCACACTTATGTCACCGGGGTCAAGACCAAGGGTAATCTACCACACTCCGGAGGAGCAGTCACCGAAGGACACCAAGAGACAGACGACAGAAGTGGGTTCAAGAGTAACTTTTTTTTATTAAGTTTAAAAAAGAATAAAAGTAGGGACAGGCAGTGACTCTTCTCGTCGTCAGGCTCGTTGCATAGGCTCGTAGGACTGACAGTGACTTCTCTCGTCGTCAGGCTCGTTGCATAGGCTCGTGGGACTGACAGTGACTTCTCTCGTCGTCAGACTCGTTGCATAGGCTCGTAGGACTGACAGTGACTTCTCTCGTCGTCAGGCTCGTTGCATAGGCTCGTGGGACTGACAGTGACTTCTCTCGTCGTTAAACTCGTTGCATAGGCTCGTAGGACTGACAGTGACTTCTCTCGTCGTCAGGCTCGGTGCATAGGCTCGTGGGACTGACAGTGACTTCTCTCGTCGTCAAACTCGTTGCATAGGCTCGTAGGACTGACAGTGACTTCTCTCGTCGTCAAACTCGTTGCATAGGCTCGTAGGACTGACAGTGACTGCTCTCATCGTCAGGCTCGTTGCATCAGCTCGTGGGACCGACAGTGACTTCTCTCGTCGTCAGGCTCGCTGCATAGGATGACTGGATGACAGCAGGAGGAGATACTCGATTCAGCAGCTCTGTTTTACTTCAACACAGGCAGGAGAGCAGATCAGAAAAAAACTCTTAAGGTTTATGGGTCGATCTCATCCATCAGAGACTCAGAGAGAACACAGTTGTTTGATCTCACCACACTCGTGCATAAATCACTCTTGGAAATCTTCACACGTGTTTGTTTCACTCTTTCAGACACTGCAACTCACTCTACCATCACAGTGATTAAAACAACTCGCCTCTCTTCTCTTCATAGGATGGATGATCCAAAGACAAATGATCTCACAGAGATGAACAAGGAACCAGCCTTATCCTGCCGCCCGCTGTCACTGCTCTAATCCCCTCGAGCACTTGTGTGAAGTTCTCCCACTGCAAAAGCTCAACCCCTATGCTTCAAGCCTCTCTCTTTATATTCTTCCCTCCCGGCATGAGATTCAATGAAGCGCTGCTCATTGGCTTCAGCTGGCGCTCATTATAGTCAGATATGTTTACCAAAAGCCGGCCCGGTGTTACACCGGCACTTCTTCCCCCTGGAAACGAGTCAATATTTTTTTTTGGTTCCTAGTTGGTTCACCCGGTGACACCCTCCCCCACCGGATCCGTTCTAGTCCCGAGAACGGGGTCCAGACACCCAGTCTCCATACCTAGTAGGAGGTACTCCTCAGGTCTCCCTTTGGGAATGTCAAATTGGTTGTACGGGCTCTTCCTCCCTTGGTTCAGGAGTGGGGGTTCTAGGGACCACAACCCAACCCATCAAAGGTGGTACAGGGGCCACAGGTGCCGGTGGCGCCTCAGTCTCTTGCCGCGGATAGTTGGGGCAAGGGCGAAGCAGGTTTCGGTGCAAGATTCTCACGGGGCCAGTCTTCCCCTCTGGCCGAATGGCATAGACGGGCTGGTCCGGCCTCTGTCGTTTCTCCACCAAATACGGCACGATTTCCCACCGGTCGCTGAGCTTCCCCTTCCCCTGGCGCCGGTTATCTCGCACCAGCACCCGTTCTCCAGGTAACAAAGGGGCCTCTCGAGCAGTGCGGTCATACAGACGTTTGTTCTTCTGGGCGGCCGCGTCGAGGTGCTTGGACACTTTCTCATACGCAGAGTGTAGTTGGCGATGGTGTCGGTGTACCCATTCGGTGGTGGTAGCGGGGGCCTCAGCCATTGCTGCCCCTAGTAGCAGATCTGTGGGCAGACGCACATGTCTCCCAAACATCAGGTAAGCAGGGGCATAACCCGTAGTGCTATGGACACTGTTGTTGTAGGCCTGCACCAGGGCCGGGAGGCTATCCGTCCAGTAACCCTGATGGTCCGCATCCAGAGTCCCCAGTAAACTTAGAAGCGTCTGATTGAAACGCTCGCACCCCCCGTTTCCCTGTGGATGGTATGGGGTGGTGTGGGTCTTCTTGCATCCGTACAATTGGCATAATTCTTGGATGACACGGGACTCGAAGTTCGGCCCTTGGTCCGAGTGGAGTGTTTCAGGACATCCAAAGGGCTGGAAGACGTGTCTCCACAGAGCACCGGCAGTGGTGGTGGCGGTCTGGTCCAAAGTCGGTATTGCCCAGGCATACTTGGTGAACAAGTCAGTGACTACTAAGATGTTCTGGTAGCGATCCATTGGGCGGCTCAAGGTCAGGAAGTCCATAGCCAGCATATGCAACGGGGCTCTGGGCCTCACCGGGACCATGGGGGCCCTCACGTCTCGTCGGGTTTTGAACAGCGTACAGCGGGGGCATCCCTGCACATACGTCCCCACCGATTCTTCCATCCCGCTCCAGAAGAAGTGCCGGCGCAGCAGTGACACTGTTCGTTCTTGGCCCTGATGCCCTAGTTGATCGTGGTAGGCCTGAAGCAACGGCCGGATCTGGGCTCTAGGCACCACCACCTGATAGACCATCTCATGGGTCCTCGAGTCCAAGACAGACCTACAGATTACTCCCTCCCGCAACTTCAATCTCTTCCAGTGTCCCAGAAGCTTCTTCAATCCCACGGGATGTTCCCGTCGTTCGTCCGCCCCGGGGAGTCGATTCTGCTCCAGGCATACCCGCAGGATAGCCAACTCCTCATCCTGTTCCTGCCGCCCTCTCCATCGGTGGGGGTCCCATCCCCAACTTGCCGGTACTCCATCCGATCGCATTCCCTGCGCCTCTACTATTCCTACCATCAGCCCTTCCTCTGATTCCAGTCCTGGGGTTCCACCTTTCCCCACCGGTGGTAATCGTGACAGGACATCAGCATTTATGTGTTCGCGGCCTGGTCGATCCTGCAACCGATAATTGAAATTGGCGAGCTGGGCCACCCACCTCTGCTCCACTGCCCCTAGCTTTGCGGTTTGGAGGTGGACTAATGGACTGTTGTCGGTCACCACCAATACTTCCGCTCCCCACAAGTAGTCCTTGAACTTCTCGCACAAAGCCCACTTCAGGGCCAGCAGCTCGATTTTAAAAGAGCTGTAGTTGGCATCGTTCCGCTCCGCTGGATGGAGACTCCGGCTGGCGTAAGCGATGACCCTCTCTGTTCCGTCTCGTCGCTGGGCCAGTACGGCTCCCAATCCGCGGTTGCTAGCGTCAGTGTAAAGTACAAAGGGTCGGGTGAAATCAGCGTAAGCTAAAATGGGGGCCTGCAGCAATTCCTGCTTCAGCCTCTGAAAGGCGGTCTCACACTCTGGGGTCCAAGTAATCATGGGGAGCTCCGGCTCCGTGAAGAACCAGATCCGGCCAGCAGCTGGTTCAAGGGTTTTGCAATTTTTGAGAAGTCTTTTATGAAGCGCCTGTAGTAGCCGACAAATCCCAGGAAGGACCGCACCTGCCTGATGGTTTTTGGTGGAACCCAACCCTGCACTGCAGATACCTTCTCCGGGTCGACAGCCACTCCTGCGGCACTCACTCGGTGCCCCAAGAACTGGACCTCCTTCTTAAAGAGCTGGCATTTCCCTGGCTGGAGCTTCAGTCCATACCGCCTCATAGCACGGAAAACTTGCTCCAGATGCAACAGGTGAGAGTCAAAGTCGGGAGAATAGACGATCACATCATCCAAGTACACCAGGGTAGAGTCCATCAACTGTCCTCCCAGGCATCGCTGCATCAGCCTCTGGAAGGTCGCAGGGGCGTTACAGAGTCCGAAGGGCATACGATCCCACTCAAACAGGCCAAAGGGGGTGGTAAATGCGGTCTTTTCTCAGTCCTGCTCCTCCACCCGCACCTGCCAGTAGCCACTCGCCAAGTCAAGGGTGGAATACCAGGCGGCGTTGGTCAGTCCTGTAAGGGAATCCTCAATCCGGGGCAGGGGGAAAGCATCCTTCTTGGTGACAAGGTTCAACTTGCGATAATCCACGCAAAATCTCCAAGAGCCGGTCTTCTTACGGACCAGGACAATTGGGGCGGCCCATGGGCTGCTGCTCTCTCGAATAACTCCGCGTCTCAGCATCCCCTTTAATAAGGCACGAATCTCAGAGTATAAGGTTGGAGGTACCGGCCGGTACCGCTCTCGACTAGGCGGAGCATCTCCGGTAGGTATAACGTGTTTGACGATGTCGGTGCATCCATAGTCTTCCTCATGGGTGGAGAAGACGCCTTGCCACTTGGCCAACAGACCCTGGAGTCGGCGCGTTTGTTCTTCCTGTAGGCCCTCCCCCTGCAGGGACTCGCTCTGCAAATGGGTCGGCATGTTGCACGCAGCGGGACCAGGACCAGATTCCTCCCTTGCAAGACCGACCTCGACCACCGTTGCGCTCACTTGGCAGAAGCGGACCTCCTGCTCCTCCCTCACCTGATGGGAATCCACTGGCGTAATTCGGGTCAACCGTTGGTGACGATGGAGTTGGACAGGGTAAGTGTTTGT